AAGTCAGTAGATTTAAATATACCATCCAATTTAGGTGGGAATTATTCATTCCACTACGGATTTGTAAGCCTGAGATTTTGACACACAACTTGGGAAAATATGTTTAGATGTGTTTCTTTTCAGTGAGCAGGCTAAAAATTAGAGACTTCAAACATTTTCCTTTCTTGCGTCTTTCTTCCTTTCAAATCTAAAACAGTAAATAACAGAGTCCCCTGCCGCTGCAGGAGCCGCCCACTTCAGCCTTCCATCAGTGAGCTTGGATAATCTTGCTGGCACTGTGCTCTTTTCCTACATCAGTATGTTCCTTTTCTTTCATAGCCTGAAAACCCAGGTATTATGACATGTGGAGCTGTTCTTTTAAGTCAGGATACGTTGGTTGTTAATGCCATTATTTAATAATTCTTTCAGATTCACTTTACTCATACCTGGCCTTCTACCTGTGCTCTAAGCTTATTTTTTGTGTTAAAAGTGGTCTAGAGAAGCAGCCATTAACTGGGGGGTTAAGGAAAAAAAAACAAGAATTTGCATGAGAAATGAAATGTAGTCTTAGAGTACTAACTATGTGGTTCAGCTATGAACAGTGTTTACATTATCATATTAATAATGTAAATGCTGAATGAATATTGATATAACCAAAAATCAGTATTTTCCCATGACTATATTGAGAAAAGCCTGTGTGTGGTGAGGGAGTTGCAAGAGATATCTTATGTCAGTAGACATATTTTATAAAATTTAAATAATGAAAAAAACTGGCATGTCTAAAGAAACAAGCCAAAAGAGTTGACAGTAATTATCTCTGATATGTTGAAAACTGAGATGGGAGGATTGGAGCAGTGAACTGCTGTGTTTTTCTTAGAAACTTTAAAAACTACGTGCTTGTATTATTTTGATAGAATAAAATGAAAGAGGTAACACAGGATTGTAACAGAGCCTAATAAATTAAATGTGCTAATCATAGATCTTAGTACAGCTACATTAAAAGTTGAATACTTCCCCTAGCTTCTGTTTTCAAATATATTCTAATTAGAATAATATGGGTATATCTTTTGTCTTCTGGACCTAGTAGGTTGTTTAGAGTATTACATTTAATATGCTCTTATTTTTTGATGAGTGTTGTGTATTTCAAATGCAACATAAGGCCTAGCTGAGTTTATTCATTCAGTTCAGTTCAGTCACTCGGTCGTCCGACTCTTTGCGACCCCGTGAATCGCAGCACGCCAGGCCTCCCTGTCCATCACCAACTCCCGGAGTTTACTCAAACTCATGTCCATTGAGTCGGTGATGCCTTCCAGCCATCTCATCCTCTGTCATCCCCTTCTCCTCCTGCCCCCAGTCCCTCCCAGCATCAGGGTCTTTTCCAATGAGTCAACTCTTCGCATGAGGTGGCCAAAGTATTGGAGTTCAGCTTCAGCATCAGTCCTTCCAATGAACACCCAGGACTGATCTCCTTTAGGATGGATTGGTTGGATCTCCTTGTAGTCCAGGGGACTCTCAAGAGTCTTCTCCAACACCACAGTTCAAAAGCATCAATTTTTTGGGGCTCAGCTTTCTTCACAGTCCAATGCTCACATTCATACATGACCACTGGAAAAACCATAGCCTTGACTAGACGGACCTTTGTTGGCAAAGTAATGTTTCTGCTTTTTAATATGCTATCTAGGTTGGTCATAACTTTCCTTACAGGGAGTAAGCATCTTTTAATTTCATGGCTGCAATCACCATCTTCAGTGATTTTGGAGCCCCCCAAAATAAAGTCTGATGCTGTTTCCACTGTCTCCCCATCTATTTCCCATGAGGTGATGGGACCAGATGCCATGATCTTAGTTTTCTGAATGTTGAGCTTTAAGCCAACTTTTTCACTCTCCTCTTTCACTTTCATCAAGAGGCTCTTTAGTTCCTCTCCACTTTCTGCCATAAGGTTAGTGTCATCTTCATATCTGAGGTTATTGATATTTCTCCTGGCAATCTTGATTCCAGCTTGGGCTTCTTCCAGCCCAGCGTTTCTTATGATGTACTCTGCATATAAGTTAAATAAGCATGGTGACAGTGTACAGCCTTGACGTACTCCTTTTCCTATTTGGAATCAGTCTATTGTTCCATGTCCAGTTCTAACTTTTGCTTCCTGACCTACGTATAGGATTCTCAAGAGGCAGGTCAGGTGGTCTGGTATTCCCATCTCTTTAAGAATTTTCCAGTTTATTGTGATCCACACAGTCAAAGGCTTTGGCAGATGCTGGTTATTCAAAAATAATAATTTTGTCTTATTATTAAAAACATTCTTCTGAATATACCTTATTTCTTGCCCTCATCCCTACAGTGATATCATTATCCCTCAGAAACTTTGGCAGCTAGTATTTTATCAAATAGTAGAATGAAGTCAGTAATGTACCCTAAAAATCAGATTTTATTATTTGTCAGTATTTTTAAGCAGCTATTTCTCATAAAGCAGGACTACCATAGGTGTCTTCTGTTTTTCTCTTGCATTTACTGAGTATGATGATCTGTCCAGAAAGAAGCTTTGTGTTTTTGTGCTAATAGGAGAGGGCTTGGACTTTTCTTTCTGTTTAATAATCAATTAAGGAAACATGAAAGGTAGAGATTTATGGAAAGATTTTATTGGTTCATTGATACTGCTGGGAGGAACAAAAAACAGCATACACATTTCTGTCATGTAGCACTCCCGCTAGTCAGAACTCAGTCAGCTTATCAGTCAGTCCAGGGAAAGTCTCAATTTGAAATTTCCAAATAGTTATTACTATAGCTCACATTTATTGAGTGTTCTTATGCCCCGGGTACTTATTAAAGAGCTTTCATGATACTGTCTCATTTAATCTTCTTGCCAATGCTTTGAAATATTTTATGTGTAAGATGAATATAACCTTTTATTTTAAATCTTAGGGCAGGTTAATTTTTATAGCAGTTTAATCGTTTAAGTTGAGCTGGATACTTGGAGACATTTTCTTGCTCTGTTATATTATGTATGGAAGGTAAAAAACTATTTTAGAGCCACACGCAGGAGGCTTCTGCAGGTTTTAGTATAATTGCAGATATTTTTATAGTCATATTTGAAGCCCTAGAGTTAAGATTTTTAGTCAAATTGAATATAAATATGAGACATTCTATACTTCCTTAGATAAGGAGATAAAAATATGACTTTTTCTAATTTAATGAAACATTGATAGGATTGAAAGCATAGGTGTTGGCAGAAAGGGTACATTTAACAAAGTGATTCTAAAATTTACCTAGAAAGAGTTAAGTATCTGAGAATCATCTAGAAAAATTCAAAAAGAAGAGTAATAAGAATGGCTTCATCCTAGTAAATATTAAAGTATACTTTGGGTATCAGAGCATCAAGATATTAGTGCCTTGCCAGACAAGCAGATCCACGCTCCAGAACATTTGGAAGTTCAGTAATAGCACATGTAAAGGAGACATCTTAAATCAGGGCTATAAACTATTCAGTAATAGGTTCTGTGATATAGGTCACTTCTTCACGTGTTAAGCCCAAGACAGATTTCATATGAACTAAGGCTTTTATTGTAAAAAATAAAAGTATGAAAAGAAAGTGTTAGCAACTATATAATCTTTTTGTGGGACAAGGCTGCCTAAGAAGGATATCGAAAGCAGGTTACATAAAGGAATAATATTACTCGATTTTCTGTATAAAATTAAAAGCCTTATTACAAAACACCACTTTTAAAATCAAAGACATAAAGCCATAATAAAAGTTAATACCTACGACCAACATGAGACAAAGCATTGTTACCTTTAATATAGAAAAGAACCTTTTAAAGAAATATGGAATATTAACTCTCCCAAGAGAAAGCTGATCAAAGAACATATGCAGTCAATACTAATATAAAAATCAGTAAACAAATTGTAAAATATTTAACATCAGAAGTAATTAAATAAATGAAAATTGTTACATGATATCAATCATATTAGCAAAGATTAAAAACAATGATAGTGTTCAGTGTTAGTGAAAGGAAAGAAAAGTGGATATTCTCATATACTGTTGGACTGCTGGTGACTGTTAATTGGCACCACTATTGCTGAAGACAATTTGGAACTATATGTCAAAAATCTTGATATTTATATATTTTCATCTAGCAAATCTGTGTGGATGATGATGCTTAAGAAGCAGTTAGAAAACGGTTCAAAGATACGTGAGGATAAATATTTATTGCCATATTAGTAATAGTATTAGGCTAACATATTGTACCACATGAGACTGCTCAAACTAAGAACAACTGAACAGTGGAATACTACACAGGCATGAAAAGTAAAGGTGCAAAACTTTACTTAGTGTGTTAAATACCTTTTCCAATATATCAAGTGGGAGAGAGGAAAACAGATTTCAGAGTGGTAGAGAAATACTCTGTTTTACTTGGTTTTTGGCTTATATTCCTCATGTATTTTTACATGAGGAAAAGTCTGGAAGCATGAATGCCAAAATGTTAATTATACTGACCTCTGGATATGAGATTTAATATGATTTAAAGTTTATTTCTTCTCTTAACTGTTTTTCCCCCATTCACCAAACTTTTATTGAGCTATTGCTGTCACTAGCCATTGTATTTTCTGATATGATAAAATATAATTTGTACAATGAAAATTTGATGTCATTTTAGGGAGGCAATTACAAATTAGAAATATTTTCATTAAATGAAATAATGTCTTGGTCATTAAAGTAGTATGTCCAGTTATTCATTTCTTTGGACCACTTTATTCAGGAAAAGTGCAGGATAAAATGTGATATTAGTTTAATGTGCTGAAGCAGCGAAAATGATCCTAATAAGAGACATTTTTTTCATGTGTATGTAACACAAGCTGTCTCTACTGAACATAGTCCTTCTTGTGGAAGGAGGGATGTTGATTGCATGGTCTACACTGCTTTGTATTTGAATCAGAAATAAGGTTCTTGTAGGTTCATTGCGAAAAGAATGGGTTTTTCATTTTGAGTAGCCGTAATTGCCTGCTGTTGACTTTCTTAATTTCAGGCAACTGCAGGAGCAGCAGCGACAGAAGGAGCTGGAGCGGGAGAGAGTGGAGCGGGAGCGGCTGGAGCGGGACCGCCTCGAGCGCGAGCGACTGGAGCGGGAGCGCCTGGAGAGGGAGCGCCTGGAGCGGGAGCGCCTCGAGCAGGAGCAGCTGGAGAGGGAGCGGCAGGAGCGGGAGCGGCAGGACCGCCTGGAGCGGGAGCGGCTGGAGAGGCTGGACCGCGAAAGGCAGGAGCGAGAGCGGCAGGAGCAGCTGGAGAGGGAGCAGCTGGAGTGGGAGCGAGAGCGGAGAATATCGAACGCCGGTAAGAAGTTTACAGACTCTTCTGTGTTCCTGATGTCTGAGCCTGCTGGTGTTTGGTGGAGTCGTAAATTAGGAAGAATATTTAGCATCTGAGATTCTTGGGATTAAGCAGTACAATTCGAAATTAGAAAAAATATGTGGCAATTGCTACTTTATCTTTTTTTAAAAATTTATCTCTGTGTTGCTTTTATTGCTTGGAGACTTAAAGCTCTTGGAAAATTTTATTCTGGCATTCTAATTCTTCTAACTGCTTATAAATTGGCTTTATATAAAGTGTAAATTATTTTCATGGGAAATTTTTTGTGTTAGATGAATTTGGAATATATTTCCCTTTTGAGGTTTCTTCAATTTTCTTGAATACTGTAGCTTTCCAGAAATTTGCTTGACTGTGTTTGTTCTCAAGCTTTTGAAGGAGGAATTAAAAACAGCAAGTTAAAAAATACTGTCTCTAAAGCTGACTAGTAATGTAAATGTATTTTAATATTGTGAAAAATTAGTGGAAATTACTAAATATGATGGAATTTTATTGAAGGACATAAGGGTAAAGATATGACTAAAAATTCGAGGTATTTTGACATTCATTAAAATAAACATTTATTATAGGATTTAAGAATTTTTCTATTCCATATGATCTATAGCTAAAGTCTCAATGTGGGTTGATTAAATATTGATTGGTTTGTTGAGTTAATTCATTTGTTTTGATTGCCTAGTTATTTTCTGAGATTATAGTCAACTTTTCCACAAATGATCATTGAATTTGGGGGTTTCTAGCCCTTGCTGATGAACTTTTTGCTAGCTCCTCTTTATTATTTTTAAAAAGCAACTTATTCTTCTTTGTGATCTTATTCATGTAATGTTAATGTCCTTTTAGTGGATAAAATAATGAAGATTAAGACTAAGCTAATCAGTTTAATTTACTGATTTGTTACTTGATTTAAAGAAAAGATACTGTCTTGGATCTCAAAATTTATAAGTTAAAATGTTCTTGAGTGAAGTCAGATATTTGCACATGTGCTTTAATTCTCTGGAACTAACTGTAGTCTACATTTGTACATTTTGTCTGAATGCTGGTTTTGTGGCTTTACTAGCTCCCTTTTTCTCTCTCCTTTTTTATCCTGTCTTTCGCCGCTGCTTTCTACCTCTGTCCAGCTCCATCCTCCGACAGCTCCCTGTATAGTGCTCCACTTCCTGAGTATGCCAGTTGCCAGCCTCCTTCAGCACCTCCTCCATCATACGCTAAAGTCATCTCAGCTCCAGTATCAGAGGCCACTCCTGAATACGCTGTAGTGACCGCTTTGCCACCTACTTCCACACCCCCTACACCACCACTTCGACACTCCGCGACACGTTTTGCGACATCTCTAGGTTCAGCCTTCCACCCCGTTCTTCCCCACTATGCTACAGTTCCTCGTCCTCTGAACAAAAACTCTCGACCTTCTTCTCCTGTGAACACACCCTCTCCTCAGCCTCCAGCTACGAAGCCCTGTGCCTGGCCTACTTCCAATTTTTCCCCCCTCCCTCCATCTCCTCCAGTAATGATTAGCAGCCCCCCAGGCAAAGCCACTGGTCCAAGGCCTGTCCTCCCCGTTTGTGTCTCTTCTCCTGTGCCCCCGCTGCCCCCCTCACCAACAGCACCCAACGGGCTGCTCGACTCTGTCCCGCACCCCGTGTCTCCGCCGCCTACCTCAGGGCCGCCGCCGCCGCCGCCACCACCGCCGCCACTGCCTCCCCTGGCGCCACTCTCACACTGTGGATCTCAAGCTTCTCCTCCTCCGCCTCCGAGCACCCCTCTTGCCTCAACTCCCTCATCCAAGCCTAGTGTTCTCCCTTCTCCCTCTGCAGCTGCCCCTGCCTCTGTGGAGACTCCTCTAAACTCTGTGCTGGGAGACTCCTCTGCTCCTGAGCCAGGCTTGCAGGCAGCCTCTCAGCCGGCCGAGACTCCAGCCCAGCAGGGTAAGGCTTCCCTTATCGCGACTAACCGTTTGCTAACCCCTTGAAAATGTCTCACCCCACACAGCTTCACTTCCCTAGGAGAATGGGGATGATGGCTTTGAAAAAGTTGAAGGTGGGTTTCTTTCTGTTGGATTGATTGCATTTGGAGGATCAGTAGGAGGAATTTCCCTGTTGAGCTAGATTTGGGTTCTTCTGCAGTGTTGGAGGTGTTTTTCCGTGTTTCAGGGTCTCTGTACATTTCTCTGAATAATCATCAGGAAAACATTACTAGAAACATTAATCCACACAAAAAATGTATAATCAAACGTGTCTTCCTTTCATTTCTGGGAAATACAGAGATTGTATATAGTGCCCAACTGTAGTCATTAGATCTGTGTCATCCAGGAGTCTCCTCTGGGACAGTGCTTATCTTGGACCCTGTTTCTTTTTGGCCCCTCCTGTATGCTCAGACTTCCAGGGGTGGCTGCCACCCTAAACCATGGGGAGCATCCCAACTTTGCACAGAGTGGGGAGAGGGCAGTCGTGATGTGTGCCCCACAGGATTCCATGGTCCAGACTGTAAGACGGGGCAGCCTGTAGGCACAGTTGGGAGACGGTAGCATCCTCCGCAGTCATCCCCCTGCTCCCCATACTCGACTTCGCTGCCTCGGTGACAGGGAAGGGGGTTGTAATCGTCTGCTGCTGCTGCTGTGTCACTTCAGTCGTGTCCGACTCTGTGTGACCCCATAGACGGCAGCCCACCAGGCTCCCCCGTCCCTGGGGTTCTGCAGGCAAGAACACTAGAGTGGGTTGCCATTTCCTTCTCCAATGCATGAAAGTGAATGTGAAGTCGCTCGGTTGTGTCCGACTCTTAGCGACCCATGGACTGCAGCCCACCAGGCTCCTCCGTCCATGGGATTTTCCAGGCAAGAGGACTGGAGTAGGGTGCCATTGCCTTCTCCTGTAATCGTCTCGGTATGGATTATTCTTAAGTAGAGGAGGACCTGGTTCTGTAAGTGAATAAAAAGATGCCTAGCAACCACCTCCTTTTTAAAAATAGGATTTAGTGAGAAATTCAGGAAGGAATATGACAAATTTGTACTTTACAAAGAAGCAGTTTTATAGTTTGGATTTAAGTACATCTCCTTAAGAAAAATCTTAGTTCTAGGGGACTTGTTATCTCCGTATATATATTTTTCATGTTGACTTGCTGAATTTTACTTAAACACTGCATCGCAATTCTAATAGATGCAGTTCAGTATCACTGTGAAAGTAGTGCTGGACAAAAGAGGCACAGTTTGACAAGGTCAGACAGCCCACCTCCTGTATCCTAGGGTTCTGTTGGAAGATTGACAGCCCGTCACTGTTCAAAGTTGGCAGTTTTGAAAAACTTAACCACCCAATACGCAAATAGAGTTTTATTTGTCTTAAAACAGCCCTTTAAGCCTTTAAGGAAGGGGGAGGACCTACAGGGTCAGTCTCCTGATTCTTATTCTTGTCCACTACTTTGTGATTTTACAAGACCTGGACATTCTCCCACCCCCGTCTTCTAGGCTAAAACTCTGTACAAGTTCTGTGTCTCCTGGTTATTTCTGATAGTTGTTTTGAGTATTTACTTTTATTTTAATAAAGTAAAGGTTTGTTATTCTGAGTTGAGTTATTCTCAACTCTCTTTATACACTGTATTTAAGTATGGAATGTTTTTGAGATATTGAAGCCTGGTACCCGCCCTTCTTTCATGTTCTCAATTCAGCCATTTTGGAAAGCAAGTAGACTATGTATTTCATTAGTGTAGAATTTATTATCTCAACTGTTAAGGTTTATCCAGATTATTTTGGGTCTGTTATTTCAAATAACACTAACAGCCGACCTATACATACATTTTTTTTTTCAGTGATGCTACCTCCATCCGGAATTTTATAGACATTTATTTTATTTACCCAATCGCCATGAATGAAAAAAAATAGAAACCTAATTAGAGATCTGTTTCAAAGTTCTATTACTAAAACTCTGCGTTTTAAGTAGTTAGCTTAAGATTTGGCTTTAAATTGTAGTATCTTTTTTTTTTTAACTTTTTTGTAGTATCTTTTTAATACTGACTTGGATTTTAACTGTTGTATACATTGAGCTCATAAATTTGTAATAAGTGTTTAATTTAGCGTGTCACTCTACGTACCTTTCCTCCTGAGATAGTGTAACGTGGCTCTATCATTGACGGTCTTAACATTTCTTTCTCTCAGGCATTGTCTTGGGACCACCTGCACCTCCACCCCCTCCTCCACTCCCACCAGGTCCTGCCCAGGCACCAGCCATACTCCCTCCTCCCCCAGGACCCCCTCCACCGCCTCCACTCCCTTCCTCAGGGCCTCCGCCCCCGCCTCCTCCACCACCTCTTCCCAATCAAGTTCCCCCTCCTCCTCCTCCACCTCCTGCTCCTCCCCTCCCTGCATCTGGATTTTTTTCGGGATCCATGTCTGAAGACAATCGCCCTTTAACTGGACTTGCAGCTGCAATTGCTGGAGCAAAACTTAGGAAAGTGTCACGGGTAAGTGGATTTCCTAATTCATTATATTTCTTATGTGTGTCTCTTTCTGTCTCAGCATCTAAATTATTGAATTTATTGTATTCTCACTGTATGAACCCTGTGTTATTAACTTCATTGACTAAAAAAATTTGAAATAACTTAAGAAAAGTTGCAAGAATAGTGTAGAGTTTCTGTAAATTCATTACTTGGGTTGACCACTAAACGTTTTACCATGTTTATTCTTTGTATATGTTTCCTTCTGCATAAACTCACACACTCTTTCTGTCTGAATTGAGGCTAAATCAGAGACACCATGCTCCTGTTTCCCTAAATACTGAAGTGTGTATTTTGTAAGAAGAAGAACATTCACCCACATGACCACAGTATAATTATCAAAATCAGGATATGTAATTGATACAATACTACATAATCTACAAATCTATTAAAATTTCACTTGTTGTCCAATGATGTCTTTTATGGCAATATTTTTTTCTATTTCAGGGTCACTCCTGTTAAGTTTTGTTGTGATGTCTCTTTAATTTACTTTAAAATGTAGTAATTCCTCATTTTCCTCTTTCATGATACTGACATTTTTGAAGACAATAATATGAGTATTTTGTAGATCTGATATTTCCCTAAGATTTGATTGAGGTTATGCATTTGGGGGGACAGGTTTCACAATTTTTACCACCAATGTAATATGTCCTTTTCAATGCCACATTTCAATAGCATTTTATGCCATTATTGGTGATGTTAGCTTTGATAAAACTTCACTGATACATAAAATTACTCTGTTGGTTCTTAAGATTTAAAAAATAATACCTAGATGTTCTTATTGAAATTAATGTGGATATATCCTTCTGTTTTGAATGTAATATATTAATAAAGGATTGATATATTAGGATTGCCCCACATAGGAGTTTATTATGTGTTTATATTCTCATTAAGATGGAAGATGCCTCTTTCCCAAGCGGAGGGAACACCACTGGTGTGAATTCGGCCTCATCAAAAACAGATACAGGTCGTGGAAATGGACCCCTTCCTTTAGGGGGTAGTGGTTTAATGGAAGAAATGAGTGCCCTGCTGGCCAGGAGGTGAGTGAGAAATTACGTGGATGTGTCCAAAATTGAAAAAATTGTGTTAATTTTATTCTAAGTATAATTTAACTAGATGAAGCCCTTCCTTTTTGGTATAGTTTTAAACTGTTACATGATTTGTTTTAATTTTTTTAATCTGATGTACCTTTTTTCTAGGAGAAGAATTGCTGAAAAGGGATCAACGATAGAAACAGAACAAAAAGAGGACAAAAATGTAAGTTAATAAAAAAGAGTCTACTTCATGAGGACTTCCCTGACAGTCCAGTGGCTAAGACTCCGTGCTTCCACTGCAGGGGATATGGGTTGATCCCTGGTCTGAGAACAAAGATCCCACATGCCAAGTGGTGTGAGCAAAAAATAAATAAAAATTAAAGTAGTCTGCTGCACCCAAAAGTGTGAAATTCAAGTATAGCTCATATCAAAGATTAGTTTGAACTTAATTTCAACTAACAATATTTATTTTTAACTCTTCAGATACTAAAAATGGTATCACTTTTTATATATTTTTAATGACATTCTTAGTAAAATAGGTTGAATGTGTTTAGTTAGGGGAAAAGTACTGGAATCTTTATATTTAATTATGTACCTAAGCCTGCTGTTAAAGGAGTGAAGGACTTTTTTCTAGGTTTTTAAACTTATCTGAGAGTTTCAGTTTCCTTGCATTTAAAATGGAAGGAATTTGACCAAATCCAGTGGTTATTAGCTGTGCCCTCTCTCGCATTAAGCAGCACATTGGCAAGTGTGGTTCTCATTGAGTGTGCAGTTCTCATTGAGAACGCATGAGGAAGGATCCATGAGGAACTGCAGTGGGGGAGGGAGGAATTTGGAGGTGGGGCTGCTAGGGTTAGGAAAAAAGTCTAAACTTAGTGTAGAGGAGAGAAAAGACTGATGAAGGAAAAAGTGGGAAATGGCAGAAGGTATAAAGCACCAAATGTATACAGCAGGTTTCTAGAAGATACGATGTTATCAATATGTATTTCTGTATATTTAGGAAGACTCAGAACCTGTAACTTCTAAGGCCTCTTCAACAACTACACCTGGTAAGTTCAAGGGATACATTTTCATCTTTATGAACTTTGTCTAAATATTAGTACTTCTCAATTAAAAATTCTCCCTTTCCCCATGTTTAGATCAAGTGACTGCTTAGCTACTAAAACGTTAAAATTCTTGGTTCACACTTGAAAGCACTGACTTTCTCCTCTACCTTTTGTGACCCTGAAGCAGCTGTTCATTTCTCTATGACATTGGGAGATATATTAAAATCCAAAGTGTTTTTTTATGACTTTCTCTGAAAATCATCATTTTTACACATTCTGTGTATATTATTGTTAGTGACTTGAAGTTACTCATTTAAAGAAGGAAAAATATGTTATCTAGATGGAAGAGAAACACTTTTAGTAATTGATTCTTAAAGGCGAGGATTTTATATGTCATGTCTTCATTTTTGACTAAATGACTAAACACTTGAACGCCTGTTTCTCTCCCTACCTAATTTGGAATGAAGTTTGATCATTTTGATGAATTAATATTTAGAGTTAGCCATAGGAATCGACTATAGGGAAATGCTATAACAGGGAAATTCTATAACAACCACTCATTCTCACTGAATAGTGGCTCTGTAGTGGCCTGATTGCTCTATTATAATTAATATTGTAACTCTGAATAATTTTTCCTCTGTATAGGACTCAAATCAGTTTATGTTACCTTCATTAAAAGTTCTATTGTTTGTGATTTACTTATTTTTACCTTTATCTTCCCCAAATCAGTATACATGCTATTACTAAACCATAGATATTTTAGGACTCAGCTATAATTTAGAGTCACAGAACTTTCTGGAATTTGAAAAGAGCTATGAGCCCTCTCCCAGGGAAGAAAAAAAATCATATTTTTATGCAAAACTGATCATCATTTCAAAATACTCACTGATTCCCTGAAGGTTATGTACAGACTCCTTGTCTAATGTATATCCCCTTATTTAAAACATGCAAAACTGAAGCATGGATTTTGCATGTGTTTTTTTGTGTGTGTTTGCACATGTGTACCATTTTTATAAAATTAAGGATTCATTCAAAAAAGGTCTAGAGGTTTTTTTACTTCACTTGCTGCAGTCAGTTTTTCCCCTTAATTGCCACATGTTAGACACCTGACAGGCCAAAAAGAAGCGAAAGGTGAAGTCACCCTAAGCACAAGAAATTCATGGTTCAGCTGGGATGCTGAGACACACACACAAGTGAAAAGTTAATGTTTCATAACCACATGTTGAATATTAAAGAAATGTATCAAGGAGAAGGGATTGTATAGTTAGGAGTCACCTGGATCATCTTTATAGGAAAAAGTGACATTTTGCCTTGCCTTGAAGAGTATTTCACTTAGCTGGAAGTAGAGAAAGGAGTGCTTTTTCAAAAGGAAGTGGGTATGGCATGGGCAGAGATGGGGAGTTGGAGCTGGAAGGGACTAGGAGACATGACTTTGCCTGTCTCTTTATTTAGTGACAGTGTTCTTATGACCATCCCCTGCCTGTCCAGTTGTCCTTTAGGATTCCCCTCTTTTCCCCTACTCTGGAGGTATCTCTTGGATGTGTTTCTGATTCTCTGTCGTGGACATCCTCATCTGATTATCTGACATCCACTGGCTCAGTCTGTGGTGGTCAGTGAGAGAGTGTGTTAGCTTTGAGAATACAGAAGGAGTAATGATTAACTGGTTGATGGACAAGGAGTAAAGCAAGATGAATGATGACTTTGTTTCACTAGATGACTCAAGGCAGCAGAAATCTGGAACATAAACAGTGCTTCAGGCTTGAGTTGAGAGTTTAGTTTAGCATACATGCATGTCCATAGGCCAGCTGAGGGGCCACAGTAGAACTCGGCAGGTTTTCAAGCTAAAATTCTGCACAACTTAGACGTGATTCTTCTATGGCCCAAATTTGTTCTTCCATGAGAGGCTTCCACTCCGGATTTCACCTAGTCATCCAGTGAGGCCAGTAACAGCATCAGCGAGGCAGCCCAGGTTAGCAGAAACAGTTTAGAACTTCGCTTTTCAAAACACAATCAACTGAAAGCTCAGAGAAACCTAATTTTATTTAACTGGAATTGTCTGCTAAGTCCTAACAATTGGTTGTGTGAAAATCAAGGAAATACAGTAGAATGAGGTGATTCTGAAATATATTTTGAGTTGCTTGAATTTTTTGCCAAGAGGTCTGTTTGAATTTAGATTAAATATTGAAGTACATGAACACATTAAAGATTCTTTTTAAAATAGTTTAAAAGAATGTATAGTTCGTACTCTCCCATTCTAATAAATTTAAGCTATCCTTATTAATTTAAAGTAATTCCTACAATTTCATTGTAATTAATCAAAATTATCCTACCCTAATTCATATTATCCTATTTTTATTAGAGAAACTTGTTACCATCTGGTGTATAGAATTACAGTATTGTAAATTTAACAATCTTAAGTTCTTCATAGAGAAAGTTGTCACACTTAGTTGCTTAGTAATTTCTTTTCATTTTGGGATCTGAAATTATACAGATTAGAATCCTAACTCTGGGAGCATATAGGATATTTAACTTAAGTTCTTTAATTTTTAAAGAACCGACAAGAAAACTTTGGGAAAGAACAAATACAATGAATGGCAGCAAGTCACCTGTCATTTCCAGGTAATCAGTTTTTTTTCTAAGTTTTATATTACAGTTGTATCTAAGAAATTAACATCTGCGTTTTTATGGGTCTGAATTCTACCATATGCTTATTATTATCACCCAGGTTGTCTGAAATTTCTAGATAGCTTTTATTCCTCCCAGTACTTATATTTTGAAAAAATTCAAAACAACTACAGAAAAATTGAAAGAATAGTATAGCAAACATCCATGTATCCATCACCTGGATTCACAAGTTATTAACATTTTGCCAGCATTGGCTTGATCTCTTGTCTACACATCCACGCTTTTTTCTCTCTGAGTAGTTGGAAGGCAGTTTGCAAATATGTGCTGCTTCAGCCCTAAATGCTGCTTCAGCATTTTTCTTATGAAACAGGATGTTCTCCTATATAACCTCAACATCATTGTTACTGTCAATAAATAACATTGAACTTTTGAAAGAAACATAATGCTTTAAACTGAAAAGCAGCTGGAGAGAAAAGGCTACAGTATTTAAGAGAGCAGAATAAAACCTAAAATTTTGAATTTATAAAGTAGAAAGATTTCTTTTTCAGTTGAAACTTCTAATTATAGTCGAGTTAAGAAAGATAATGCCCAGAAACAGCACTAGTTAATCCATGTTTCTACAAGTGGCTGTGTGTTGCATGGTCAAGCAAATTCAGTATTTCTTAGCCAGGCATATTTTACTGTCATAACTAACTTTATATTGTAGGTCTTAAACATAGATGAAACATTTTCTTGGTTTATGAGACAGTTTAAAGCACTCATATTTTTCATAGAAAAAAGTATGTGTCTTGAGAATGAAAAGTTTTTTTTTGCCTTTTGTTTCTGAGCTATTCGCCTTATTTTTGCCTCATAAAAAAGCAGGCTTAATGTCTAATTATAGAAGCCTAATTTAAAAAGATACAAGAATAGACCTTATATTGTCACAGGTCTGTTGTACATGAGCTTCAGTGTAAATTTGGATTGGTTTTTTGTGTGGTTCTTCCTGTTGGTGGGAAAGATTTGGTGATGACATAGTTAATTAAATTTCACAAAGAAACTGGGCCTTTTTGAGTGTATAGAAGCTTTCAGTTTCTTCGTGACTGAAAGATGAATATATTTGGCTGGAATTGCTTTTGGTGAATATGTTTCTTCAACAGAGTGGAAAAACTGCATTTATGTTCCCAGATACCTAATTGATATGGCCTTCTGAAGTATCTCTAATAGTAGTTACAGATTTTCTTCAGTAGCACTGTACAAAACCCATAGGACTGTGCATATCAGAACAGACCTGTGATGTGCCCTGTCCTTTGAAGTTGCAAATTGTAACGAGGAGGAATGCCTTCTCTTTGTCCCTGCTTTCATCCCTGCCTCATTGATGGGAATTCCATAGTGAGCTTGCCTAAAGCTAAACTTAAATTCATGGCAAAAGTTCTATCGTAGACGGGACATGGAAAAACTTCTCCAGGTGGAATGTATGTGTTCCTTGATCTGGTTGGGTTCATTTAATAAAGGAAAGAATATTCTCTCAGAGACTTTTCAGACTTCTAAAGAAAGTTTAATAAATGTTTTAAGCATCACTATTTTAAAAATATTTTGTATAGATTAATCAAATGTGGGTTGTAATTATCCAGTAATGTATTGTGATCATGTTCTAACTCTGGTAGATGGTTTTCCTCTCTTTTCCCAGAGTGAACATTCTAAAATGCCCAATTAAAGAACTGTATTGCTTTTCTTCCTAAATTACTCCCCTCATTCCTTCTGAAAACAAGTATATTGGCTTTTTGTTTTTGCTTTTTTTTAAGCACACTTTATCCTTGCACAGTACTGAAAGTAAATACGCAGTGTAAAAATTATGTTAGTGATAAGATCGATTGATATCCTGTAATATATATGCTGTATTAAGTGAAGATGTCAGACAGTGGAATAAAAGCAAGAATGTTGACCTATGGCTGATCCATGTTGAGGTTTGACAGAAAGCAACAAAATTCTGTAAAGCAATTACCCTTCAATAAAAAACATTAAAAAAAAAAAAGCTCTAAATCATGACTGGAATGTAATGTTGGAAAGTTTGTGAATCTTCCCATAGCATTTGTTGGGAGCTTACAGATCTTGTATTCAAGATGGAAAAAAGTTCTTTACATGCCTCCTTAGAAGAGCTAATTTTGTATACTTCAAGCTACAGTGATTTTTACTGTGCTTTTTGAGTTTATAGTTTTATTTATATTCACTCTAATAGAAATGTCCTGTGTTTTGATACTTGTTGAATTTTTATGTAAGTAGGTTTTACAGTATGTAAAAGTAGCCACTACATAATGATTTTTTAAAGAAGTCTCTGTAATTATCAAGTGAACAATGTCCTCACATAACTAGACTTAGTCTCCAAATAATCTTTTTTTTTTTTTACAATTATTTTAAAGTTAATGGACTTCTTTAGTTCTTCTTCAGTTTGCTATAACTAAAAACCTGTAAAACAGTAACAAAATGAGAATTATTTTTAAGAGTTCTATTGTGTATCCCTTTAAATGGTTTTTCCCCTTCATAGACGGGATTCTCCAAGGAAAAATCAGATTGTTTTTGACAACAGGTCCTATGATTCATTACACAGGTATCATCCTGATGTGACTTTGTGATTTGAGACTTTTAAATAACATTTTCAGGATAGGGCTGAGCTTTTTCTACATGGATTGGTAATCACCACAAAGGAGAAATGGCGATAGCATAAATCTTTCATATTTAGCTGTATCTAAAACACTTTTAGAAAAAATTTTGAATGATTTTAGTGAGAAAAATTAATAGTATTCATTTCCCTGCCATCAGTTTATATTTGGATTATGAGAAATATAAATGGTCAGCGTACCTGAAATACGAGAATGAGAACCGAAGTCCACATATATCGAGAGTGTCTAGCTTTTGCATTTTATTTTAAAAGCCATTCTTTTTCTAAGACAAGGCTTTAAAAAGTTGAACAGAAGATCCTGTACTCTTTGTCACTGGAAGACAGGACAGTATTACAGCCACAGTGACTAGCCATTGTGAATAATTTATTATCTGAAGAAAATCTGTTTCCTACATACTTTGCAGTAAATTGAGTATCTTTAACAACCTAACATCTAATATCCTTGAGCAGATTATTTGTTTGCTAGGATGAGTCCTGTTATACCATTTTTTAATTAAGAAAACTTAGGATATGAACCATGTATTTCTTTCTTAATTAAAAAAATTGACAATTTCTTAAGATCCTCAAGTGCTTAAGCTATATTTAGAATTAATTTGGCAGAACAGGGACTTAAATAGTTGCAGTACAGTTATTTTATAAGCAGTATCTAGAGGCAACACTCTCGTTATAAAGGAATAAAAATCCCCCTTTTTTGTTATCAATTATGGTGAAAACCTTAATGTTAGAAATAACTGAAATATTATACTCATGTTACTGTATGCATCTGTTTTTTAAAATACACATCAAGTCCACTGGGAGCATAAATAGTATACAGGAGGTTGTCTTTGGTAGTGAGTAAGGAGTTCTGTAATCAGACTCTATTTGACCAAATTGTTATTAGCTACAGTTATTTTCATGCCATTGATGATTAAAATATTTGGCAAGTTCATTTTGTTAGCCAGTTAAATTTGCATAAAGTATTTATAGTACAGTAGTGAAATAATTTTTCCTGCTTTTTTTTGAGGTGGTTTAATTGTTTTGACCAAAGACTTATTTAGAAAATCTGCTAACACATAGAAAAATAGCATTTAACCATGAGATTTTCTGTTTTAAATCTTCCCAGTTTGCTGCTTTCATACATAGTATCCCCCTGAGATAATGTTGTTGGTAAACCTTTTTTAAAAAGTGGTGATTACGTCTTTCCTTAAGTATGAAAAGTTCCCCCCTTTAGTTAATTATCACGGTGCTGGTGGCGGTGGTGGCGGTGGTGGTGGATTGCATGTTAGCATGAATTAAAGTTTTTAAAAGTTGCATGTCTCCACGATTTTCTTTATTATATAACAAATAATTTTCTGGGTTGTTTAGTAAATATGGGTATATTTATAACATACTCCCGGTTAAATAACAGACTATTGTTATTCACATGAATTTCAAGGATATTCATTATGTAAGTTTAGTAAAAGAAACCAAAACAGTGTTTGTACCAATTAAATGTGAAATGTAAAAGAAAAGCAGAATAAATAATAATTTACTTCTGGAGAGCAGGAACAGGCAGTATGGGTAAATGAAATGCGTAAAAGTCAACGTTTATGATACTTACTGTATAGACCGGATTTTGCAGTGCATCGTGACTTGCATACTGTGGATATCAATACATCTTAATGACTGTGGAATTAAGTTACCTCCTCAACAAGGTGAAAAGGTATATTGTCTCAAGAAGAAAGGAAGTATGTCATATAAATCTTAACCAGCACAGGCCTAGCTCAGTGCCTCTTGAATGAAATTTTATGAGTTATTATTTTTCTTGTTCATATAAACATAGCAGAAGATATGTAGTAAACTTAGTTGATTTGCTTCACAGCAGTCTTTTAAGCTGTCATATGTTTCATATAAACATGACTCAAGATTTCATCTTCAAACACAGTGTCTATGGGTTTGAAGTGTAATATGCCTTATAAGAATGTTAAGTTTGAAAGAGTTATGCCTGTTAAGTCTTGGTTCAGATTTCTCACATTGGTATTCTGCAAAGTTGGAAATATATGACCTAATAGTTTTCATTTGCGTTGATTTGTGACCCTTAAAAAGTGGCCACTTAATATATACTAGAAGCTGAAAATGAAGTATCATTCAGTTAAAATTCTAAATTTTTCCACTTAGTATTTTCTCCTATTGCCAGAATTGGAGAGGGAGTCATGACTGACTTACTTGATTTTGAAACTTTTTGCTTAAAATGTGGCTAATTCTTAAGACTTATTTCTTCATGTAAAATTTTTTAACAGAAGCTCAACTTTTAAAAATGTAATAATGATTGACAGTCTGCTTAAAGTCTCCTTACCTTCCCCCTGATTTTAAACAAAGTAAGTTTGTGGAAGTAGTTAGATGACCATTCAGATACCATCTTTATAAAAACTCCATTGGGAAATAGCCACAAAGCCAGTAGGATATATGAACATACTTTTTTAAACTTAATAACTTATTTTTAACTTAATAATCATATTTCCAAGATGCTTATTTATTTTGATGCTTTTTATGGAATAGAACACATACAAAGAAATCATACTCATTAAGCAATTCCGTCCCCCGCCCCCCACCGGAAACCAAGGCATAGAATTTGAAAATTGATTAATGCAGAGTGAAATAGTCTGGTCTTTATCATTTCGCTCTCATTGGTTTGCCAGATATTTAGTAGATAGCGTACAGTTTCTAAAGGAGAGAACAAGATTGTGTTACTTGGGCTGGGTCGTTGCAGCTGGCCTCCCGTCTGTCCTGGTCACGATGCCACGTGTTACCCGTCACCCTCCTCGTGCCCAAAGAGCGTTGTCCTCTACTTTTTACTGGAAAAGTCTTGTCATGTTATCAACTTTTTCTAATTTCTTTATAAATACTGATAATGCTGTAAAAAGAGAAAAATATTTTTGTATATCCTAATTCTGCAACTATTAAGATAATTAACTCTTTAACACGTGTTTTAAGAAATGTACTCAATCTGGTGTTGGGTTGGTAACTTTGCAATTACTAATGAACTCATTAAATATGCTAAGCGTTATTTATTTACCTGTCCTAAAAATTTCATTTGTCCAGACCAAAATCTGCGCCTTCGTCACAGCCCAGTGCCAACGGAGTCCAGACGGAGGGGCTGGACTATGACAGGCTGAAGCAGGTGGGCGCCCAGCAGCAGCTTCCCTTTGTTTGTACTTGTTCTTTTTTTAAAAAATAATCCCATGTACGTATATTTGACAGGTTGTGAATGTATTTGAAAAGAATATAGACTTGCTATAGACTTGATATTTTTATAGAAATTAAACAGTAACATTCATGCTATATTACTTCTTTCAGATCCTCAGTTTTTGGCTCATCAGTTTGCATAAAGGGCCAGCAGTGGTGGAGGGTAGGGGCAGTGGTTTAATGTAATAAGATAAGCGTTAAATGTAAGTGCATGGTGTACAGTTGTTCAAGAGAAAAAATGGGCTTGTGCTTACCATCGGCCAAAACAGACCCACCAAGTCTGGTTTTAGCAAGAATGTAAGGAAAATGAGTACTCTCACATATTTCTGTGAAAGGAAGCAGTTTGGGGGGGACATCAATAAGAAAAAGATATTGTTCATATTTTAGATACAGTATGCATTGTGTTTAATACGTATATACACAGAAAAAAATGGCAGGATCCGTAGGTAATTTTGGAACCTTGAACTATTTTACTTCTGAAAGAGGTAAAATAATTTAAAATGATAGTGTTTTAAAAGATTGGAAAAGGAAGGCTAAAGACGTCTTAGTGAAACAGCTATCAATTTTGTAGACCTGGTAGTTTTGCCTGTAATGAACAGTTTAATCTTTGTCTCCTTATCCTGCACTTCAGAATAGCCTGAAAGATAGCAGTGGTACTGATCACTATAATAGGCATTTACTGACTGTCTGGCAGACCTCAGTGTTATACATTTGCTAGGTTATTAGCATGACATTGTCTCCTAATCCTAGTAGTAGTCAGATAACACAGTGTCTGTACTCAAATTGTGCACATCAGAGGTTCAGAGAGTTTGAATTTACTCAGTCCCATAGTCAGGATCAGAATCCTGTCTTTATCTTTAGAGCCTGCTTTCCCCATTCCATCACTCATTTTTTGAAGTATCAGCCGTTTGAGTGGGGCTTAAAAGAGTACCAATAATGCTGCAGTATAATGAGTTCAAAGTAAAAGTTAAATAGGAATTAAAGCAACAAATAGTAACAGTTCAGTTGAGTTATGTAATTTGAAAAGCATGTGGTCATTGATAATCAAGTGCTTGTTTCCTGTGTGTTAAACATGGCTTTCTTTTCTTGAAAAATATCTTGAAATGGAGCACTTGCACACAATTAAAGTATGGTCAGTTCTTGACTTTCTGAAGTAGGGGACTTGAGGAGAGGAATAGATTTGATCTTAGGACTGATTTTAAGTTAATTTGAAAAAAAATATCTATTAGTTCTGTGCCTCAGTTTCCTCACTGGGAAATGGAGGAAATAAACTAATTGAAAATTTTCAACCTTATTTTAAACATGAAAAGGTTTTTTAAAAAGATGAATCTTAAACATAGAGCTATTTAATTTTACCTAAGGTGTGTGCAGTGCTAAAGAAAGTCATAGAATTTGAAATTAATTCTTCCAAATGATAGTTGTTTTTCACCCATTAAAATTATCACCTTATTAGTCCTTTTAGCGTTCACGTTACACAATCTTTATTTTTTAACTAGAGGGTGTATCCATTATTTCAAGTTGAACTTTATAAATAGAAATTTTGAAAAATAAGTAAAGGCAGAGTGGTTATCATAGAGGTAAGAGGGTCTAGAGCATCACTATTCAATAGAAATATTGGGCTGGCCAAAAAGTTCAGTTCACTTGCTCAGTCATGTCATGTCCAACTCTTTGCGACCCTACGGACTTCAGAACGCCAGGATTCCCTGTTCATCACCAACTCCCGGAGCTTTCTCAAACTCGTGTCCGTTGAGTTGGTGATGCCATCCAACTCAATGATCTCATCCTCTGTCATCCCCTTCTCCTCCTGCCTTCAGTCTTTCCCAGCATCAGAGTCTTTTCCAGTGAGTCAGTTCTTCACATCAGGTGGCCAAAGAATTGGAGTATCAGCTTCACCATCAGTCCTTCCAGTGAATATTCAGGACTGATTTCCTTGAGGACGGACTGGTTGGATCTCTTTGCAGTCCAGGAGACTCTCAAGAGTCTTCTCCAACAACACAGTTCAAAAGCATCAGTTCTTCGGTGCTCAGCTTTCTTTATAGTCCAACTCTCACATCTATACATGACTACTGGAAAAACTATATCCTTGACTAGATGGACCTTTGTTGGCAAAATAATGTCTCTGCTTTTTAATATGCTGTCTATGTTGGTCATAACTTTCCTTCCAAGGAGTAAGCATCTTTTAATTTCATGGCTGCAATCACCATCTGCAGTGATTTTGGAGCTCAAAGAAATAGTCTGTCACTGTTTCCCCATCTATTTGCCCTGAAATATGGGACTGGATGCCATGATCTTATCAGTTTTCTGAATGCTGAACTTTAAGCCAACTTTTTCACTCTCTTTTGCCTTCATCCAGAGGCTCTTCAGTTCCTCTTTGCTTAATGCTCTAAGGGTGTCGTCGTCTGCATATCTGAAGTTATTTATATTTCTGCCAGAAAATTTGATTCCAGCTTATGCTTCATCCAGCCTAGCATTTCTCATGATGTACACTACATATAAGTTAAATAAGCAGGGTGACAATATACAGCCTTGACATACTCCCTTCCCTAATTTGGAACCAGTCTGTTGTTCCATGTCCAGTTCTAACTGTTGCTTCCTGACCTGCATACAGATTTCTCAAGAGGCAGGTCAGGTGGTCTGGTATTCCCATCTCTTGAAGAATTTTCCACAGTTTGTGGTGATCTACAGTCAATAAAGCAGAGGTAGATGTTTTTCTGGAATTCTCTTGCTTTTTTGATGATCCAGTGGATGTTAGCAATTTGATCTCTGGTTCCTCTGCCTTTTCTAAATCCAGCTTGAACATCTGGAAGTTCACAGTTCACATACTGTTGAAGCCTGGCTTGGAGAATTTTGAGCATTACTTTACTAGCATGTGAAATGAGTGCAATTGTGCAGTAGTTTGAGCATTCTTTGGGATTGCCTTTCTTTGGGGTTGGAATGAAAACTGACCTTTTCCAGTCCTGTGGCCACTGCTGAGTTTTCCAAATTTGCCGGCATATTGAATGCAGCACTTTCACAGCATCACCTTTTAGGATTTGAAAGAGCTCAACTGGAATTCCATTACCTCCTCTAGTTTTTTTCGTAGTGATACTTCCTAAGGCCCACTTGACTTCTCATTCTAGGATGTGTGGCTCTAGGTGAGTGATCACACCATTGTGGTTATCTGGGTCATGGATATCTTTTTTTTCTTCTGTGTATTCTTGCCACCTCTTATTAATCTTCTGCTTCTGTTAGGTACATACCATTTCTGTCCTTTATTGTGCCCATCTTTGCATGAAATGTTCCTTTGGTATCTCTGATTTTCTTGAAGAGATCTCTAGTCTTTCCCATTCTGTTGTTTTCCTCTATTTCTTTGCATAGATCACTGAGGAAGGCTTACTTATCTCTCCTTGCTATTCTTGGAACTCTTCATTCAAATGAGTGTATCTTTCCTTTTCTCCTTTGCCTTTCACATCTCTTCTTTTCTCGGCCATTTGTAAGAACTCCTCAGACAGCCATTTTGCTTTTTTGCATTTCTTTTTCTTGAAGATGGTCTTGATCCCTGTCTCCTGTACAATGTCCATAGTTCTTCAGACACTCTGTCTATCGGATCTAACCCCTTGAATCTACTTGTCATTTCCACTGTATAATCGTAAGGGGTTTGAGTTAGGTCATACCTGAATAGTCTAGTGGTTTTTCCCTACTTTCTTCAGTTTAAGTCTGAATTTGGCAATAAGGAGTTCATAATCTGAACCACAGTCGGCTCCTGGTGTTGTTTTTGCTGATGTATAGAGCTTCTCCATCTTTGGCTGCAAAGAATGTAATCAATCTGATTTCGGTGTTGACCATCTGGTGATGTCCATGTGTAGAGTCTTCTCTTATGTTGTTGGAAGAGGGTGTTTGCTATGACCAGTGCGTTCTCTTGGCAAATCGCTGTTAGCCTTTGACCTGCTTCATTTTGTACTCCAAGGCCGAATTTGCCTGTTACTCCAGGTATCTCATGACTTCCTACTTTTGCATTCCAGTCCCTTCTAATGAAAAGGACATCTCTTTTTGGGTGTTGTTTCTAGAAGGTCTTGTAGGTCTTTATAGAACTGTCCAACTTAAGCTTCTTCAGCATTACTGGTTGGTGCATAGACTTGGATTACTGTGATATTGAATGGTTTGCCTTAGAAACCAACAGAGATCATTCTTTTGTTTTTGAGATTGCATCCAGGTACTACATTTCGGACTTTTTGTTGACTGATGGCTACTCTGTTTCTTCTAAGAGATTCTTGCCCACGGTAGCAGATATAATGGTCATCTGAGTTAAATTCAGCCGTTCCAGTCCATTTTAGTTTGCTGATTCCTAAAATGTCGATATTTACTCTTGCCATCTCCTCTTTGACCACTACCAGTTTGCCTTGATTCATGGACCTAACACTCCAGGTACCTATGAAGTGCTGCTCTTTACAACATCGGACCTTGCTTCCATCCCCAGTCACATCCACAACTGGGTGTTGTTTTTGCTCAGCTCTGTCTCTTCATTCTTTCTGGAGTTACTTCTCCACTGATCTCCAGTAGCATATTGGGCACCTACCGACCTGGGGAGTTCATCTTTCAGTGTCCTACCTTTTTGCCTTTTCATACTGTTCATGGGGTTCTCAAGGCAAGAATACTGAAGTGGTTTGCCATTCCTTTCTCCAGTGGACCACGTTTTGTCAGAACTCTCCATCGTGACCCATTGTCTTGGTGGCCCTACATGGTATGGCTCATAGTTCATCGAGTTAGACAAGGCTGTGGTCCATATGATCAGATTGGTTAGTTTGTTAGGCTTTTTCCAAATGAACTTTTTGGCCAACTCTATGTAACATGGGTCACATACTTCAAATTTTTAGCAGGTGCATTAAATATAGAGAAATAGGTTACATTCTCTTTAATATATTTTTATTTAACCTGATGTAGCCAAAGTAATATTTCAGTATATAATAATCAGTATTTTAAAATTACTGACTAGTTATTTTACTTTACTTTCTTCATAGTGAATCTTTGAAATCTGGTGTCTTAACATTTACAGTGCATCTCACCTCAGACTTGCCACGTTTCAAGTGCTCGGTAGCTATGTGTGGCTGGTCTTCTTTCTTAAGACTGTGTATGTCTAGCAGGGTCCCATCGTCCTACTTCCCCACCTATTGGGGCAGCCCCCGAGGGCCCTCCAGGGGAATCCTACATTCCGTGAAGCTTAGTTTGACAGCTCTGGTGATTCCGAAGCAGTCCCCATAGTTAAGGCCAGGTGACAAACTTCCCAAGAGCTGATTGTCCAGTTTGTGTCTTCTTCCTTGAAACTTGTTTATGGATTGCCTCTTAGCTCCCAAAAGACTAGATGAAAAGCAGAGCTCTTATGTTTTATAGGGTTATCTGAATCATACCTTTCACGGCATGACCAGGTAATTGCTTTAGGTTTAGAAGACATTCTGCTTCATATTTTGCTAAGCTAGAATAAGCAAAGATTGGGAAGAGAAGACTATTAAAGTTTACCAAAGTTAATCTTCTAAGTCATAAATCATGAATCTGGAAACAAAAGACAGAGGTAACATTTTATACATTCGTAAAATTTTATATGAGCAAGAATCTTTATTTATTTTCTGTATTTCTGATGTTTTTCTCTAATATTTTAGGACATTTTAGATGAAATGAGAAAAGAATTAACTAAGCTAAAAGAAGAGCTCATTGATGGTGAGTGTCTAAACAAATTTGCTACCCCTGCAATGTTTAATAATACCCATTTTAAAGAAAATGAAGATAAAAAAATACCTAGTTTATTACTTGAGGGCATGAAACAATTACTTTTCCATATTATCCTGTCCTTTACCTGGCTTCGGGTGCCAAAGAGAGGGTTTCTCTCCTTCATATAATGGAAATTATTTGTGAACATAGGGTAAACAAAATTCCTCTTTAAGCTTCCGATATTGAATAGTATTAGATGGAAAACTTCTTTTCATCCATCCCATCCCACTAAACTCTTGTTTTGAGCCCAAAGAATCAGTGTTTTCCTTTTGTGTACAAAATGGAGAGAATATATAAATATATATAAGTTGATGTTGTCATTGTAAAAATAAGAAAACAGATTTCTTCAATGAAAGATGCACAGGTAGTATATCTTTGTATTACTGTGAGTTTGAATGAAGTCCTTAAGATTTCTTAAGAATGAATCACACATTTATATTACCTTATCATTATATTTACTTTTAATATTTTTCCTTTTCCTGCCAGCAATCAGGCAGGAACTGAGCAAGTCAAATACTGCGTAGAGAAACAAACTAAGGAGAGACAGGACTTTAATCTGGAAAAAGAAGAAAATAAAAACCTGCAAAGAACAACTGTTAGCAACAACAAAACCCTTACATTTTGTGAGCTGTGAGAAGAAAATGGAGATACACAGTCAGAAGGAGGGAAAAACCAACATACCTTGAAAGCCTTCAAACATTACCACTCCGGCGGATAAGCTATTTCCCTCCAAGTTTGCTGCTTTTTTCTGACCTTTACAACAGGATGGAAGAGAGCCGTATAGGAGTTCCTGTATCAGTTATGCAGAAAATTACTAAACCCGTCAGGCAGGATCACCGTGCATTGAAAATATTTTCATGTCAAGAGAAAATTGCACATTTTCCACAGTCCATAGCTAAAATAAAGAGGGGAAAGGCTTGAGAAGTTTTGTTTTTCAGAGAATGCTGATGAAGAATTTAGCAAGTGATGCTATTGTATTGTAAATGTTTCTCTCAGGTTTGTCTTCCTATCATGTTTGATATTCCATGGATAATTGAGGTCAGCCCTGTGTAGGTTAAGATCATAAAATGTGGAACAAATGGAATTGTATGTGCTTTCAAAAGGTGACATTTATAAGAAAGTGTCCTAAAAATGATTTGTCCAGAGTGAGGAATTTTAGAATGATAGGAGGTCTCTCGTTTAGCCTTCATGCAATTTTGTAGATTCAAACATAAAATTCATCCAGAATTTAAAGATTTAGATGCCTTCCTAAATTGTTACAATGCTTTACCAAATCTACGACTCCTACATAACACAAACCAGTGGTCAAATGTAAAACAATATATTGTAGATTTACTGTAGGTTTTCAATCTTTTTTAGATTTATGCATGTGGACATTTTTATAACGTAATTACAACCACCACAAAAATTAGCTTTTTTAATTGCAGACAGTAATGCATGTTAAACTAATATGTAGTGGCCTTTTCAAGGCCTAGTCCCAGGGAAAACATTTTGTAGAGTATAGGGAGTGGGAGGAGGGGAAGGAATAATTTTTTATTTAAAGTTAATTTCTGCACTATCTTTTTTCTCAGTTATCTGCATGAATAATGATGAGGAATATTTTGTGACTTTAATTGGTAAATATGTTAACAGAACCAAGTACTTAATCTTTTACATCATGTCTTCAGCTATTTGTATTTTAATTCAGTAACTTCAGTGGTCTGAAACATGATTCTGAGCTTCACATGAATTCTGTCTTACTGTGGAATTCAAACGTCCGATCCCTGAATCTGGCAGTTTTTATTACCTAGGTGCCCTGCAGTTACCCAGGTATTCAGGTACACATTCCTGACTTCAGAGCTGCTTTCGGACTTTTATGTTGAAATACTAGAAAAGTGACAACGATGGCAGCAGTTAAGGTCACAGAAATCATCGGATAAAGGGAAAAATGACGAGGGGTCCTGCATAATTTTCTTTTAATAAATAAAGTGAGACTTAGGTGGTAGGAAGAAGGAACTAGATGCTCTACTTACCACCATGTGCGTGTGTGTGTGTGCGTGTGTTTGTGTGGGCACTCACGTGTGTGTGTGTGTGTATAATGCACTCCCTTTTCTTCGAAACTTCTAAGATTAAAATAGGGGAGAAATCCTGTATGTTACAATGATAGCATTTTTTGAAAATCTAGGAAATCAAAAATTCTCCAGGCTCTCCATCTTGGTTTATGCTTGAGTTGTTATGTGCCATATTTGCTTTGAAATCTTTGATTATCTGTAGTTTTACTAAAATTTTGAAGAAATAATCCACTGTTGTCTGCTTTCTGGATTTCTTAATCTACCTTCATAAGACAGAGCTTGTTGATAGCATAGTTTTCTAAATGCAGGTTTGCAGCCATCACCACTTCAACGAGGTTTGAATGAGGAAATTTTTTTTTTCTTATTAAAACAGTTCCTGTTTCTGTAGAAACTTCATTTTTAGATTAATCTGTGATGGATGAGCTATCATAATTCAAATAAGCAGTTCTTTTTCTATCAGCTGTTCATTGTCATCCAACAGTAAAGACATTAAAGATTCAGCAAGCTTAAAAAGTACTACTTTCTTAAAGAAATAGGAGGCATTTCCATCTTTATTACTGTACTTTTGGTTATGCAAACACTTTGGAGATATAAATGTTTATGTCCCCCATAAATCTGGTCAGAAATCATTTTTGATTTTGTTGATTAAGTTAAACAGTAGGATAGAGTACTGGGTACAAGTGGTCCAAAGTAAGATAAAAGTCTACGCTAAAAATGCTAGATCTTGAAGAAGAAACTGGTTTATGCACTAAACGTTTTGTGCCTTGGTCTAAATATTAACATGTCTGTGTAAAATGACAAAAAGAACCAGTGTTGAATCATGTTTTATTTCCTGTCATTCTGCTTTATCCCAGACTGCTAAATGTGTTCTTTCCAAGAAGTTTGATTGAATTACTGTATACATTTATTGTCCTGTGTGACAGTTTTGTCATTGTTAGAGATTTCAGTAATTAAAATGGGAAACAGAAGCTTAGGTTATTTTCCTATCAAAACTATGTTCCTTGGAGCCACGTTATTATGATGGTTTTCGTGCTCTTGTACATTGGATGTCTTAAGCTGAGTGCAGTTTGAGGGATCCTTTCTAATTACAGGAAGGTACTTTCCTTTAACACTGTGATCTGACCTGTGACAAATCTGTACTACACACTATGTAATGGCTAACAAGTCAATTGCAAACCAACTGAATGTACAAACCTTAGTGCTGGTGCTGAAATCTCTTCAGAATAGTCATCATGATCTCAAAGTTTGTTTCAGAATTTGCAAGCATCAAGTGTCAATCAAAACTGAAGATGAAACACTAATGAATGTCGAATTCTCATGCTTTAGGTGTACTTCCTTTATAGTTTTTGTTTCTCTGCTATTTTTACCATACTGTTCCATTTAAATTTCCTACACGCTAACTTCGTTTGTGCGATTGAAATAAAATTGCAGTATATACATGTTGCTTGTTTGTGACACTTAGATAATCTGACATAATCTGTTGGTTCTAAATAAGTTGCTTTGAATGTAAAAAACACTCTTTAAAATTCATGACTTCACTACTTAAAGTTTACATATCACGGCACTATTCTTTAAAGATTTCATAAGTCATAAATACTAAGTAATGTATACAAAGGGAATATGTGATCATGTATCTACTTTTTGCTTGAAATAACTGTTGGGTATTCCATGTTTGTTCTTATTTTCTCTCGGCCCAGCTTGGTACAGTGTCTTACAGTCAAGAGAATGAAAAGTGTTTTAAGTTCACTCCATTTTGTTCTACAGCAGAGATACGTTAAGCTCATTGATGCAGTTAAAATTTTTCTTAATATAGTTTGCAGCATAAAGGACATTGTATAGTCAAGGGACTTATTGAGTACTGAATTTTAAATGTAGTGAAATCTGTGTCTGTAGTGTTTGTTTATACAAAATACTGAGTTCTTGATACCTGCATATACACAGCAGTATGCAGTATTAATTTTGAGTTTCGCTTTAAAATTCTGTCTTCATTAGAAACACAACAGCCTTTGTCTTTTTTCTGCCACCAGACTGTAACTTTACCTTCCCTCATCCTCTCTACTTCTCATGGCCCCCGAGTCCCTGCCACTCACTAATATTTGCAGTTATTACCCAGACTACAGTTGTACACATATTAACTGGCTTTTTTCTCTGTATCCCGTCTCAGGTTCTTGCTTCCCTTTGTGTAAAAATTAGAATGTTTGTCTACAAACTTAAGAATCACTTCTCATTTAAAAATGAATGGCGTACCAGGCGGTAACCTTTAAAATTTGCCTAGATACAACTTTGTCTCCTAAATTTGTATATACTTCTAGTGCCCTTGTAAAGAATTGCCCTTTAAGTTCTACAGAGTAGTGTTATCCTCCTGTGAAGCAGTTTACAGAGGTATGCTGTATGCTGCAGCTTCTCTGTGATTCCTTTTTGTAGTCATCATAATTTTATATCTAACACCATTACCCTTTAAATTCTATTGATTGTAAGCATAAAAGTGACATCACATAAAACATACTGTGTGAAGGAACTCTGTAGGAGCTCTTAATTTCTTTTTGAAGCTATTACATAATCCACTTTCCTAAGGACATTTATTCCAGTCACATTAAAGCTCCAAACTTGTTCCTGGTAGTACTGTTTTTGTTTTTAATAGAAAGATGAATTCATATCTGTTCATTTTCCTCAAAGCTCAATGGGATGAGAAAGGGATCCCAAGAGTGTATTGAAATTACCAATGTGTAATACCTCTGACTTTTTGCTAAGAAGCCATTTCATATTTAGACGTAGACACTTCTAAAGTGTAGGTATAAGGAATCTTTGTCAATCTGGGCAATTAAAATTGTCCCAGGTACCTCTGGCTACAGAAAGGCACAGTGGAGAACATTTATTCTTAAGGGTAGCTTCCTCTTAAACACATTTGCTTAAGAAGCTAAAGCTGGTAACCTTTCAAGAAAGGACATTTTTTTAATTTTTTAAAATTTTTTTAAGAAAGGACATTTATATGAGCCAAGGACTGTAGGACTGTTCAGGGCCTAGAGTGCAGACTCTATTCCAAACATCCAGGTAGGCTGTGGGTTAGGTTTTTTCCCTTTATGTTGTCTCTAGTTCCTTTTTGAGGCTCAGGAGGCTTTCGTATCTGTTCATAATACTGGAAGAGTGGAACCTTCAAATTTTCAAAAAGTCTGAAATTGATAAGAAAATATTACTACAGTAAATTTTAGGTGGTTAGGGATATGCAGCATCAGCATAAATGGAGGTCTGCGATATGGCCCTTTTTGATACCAATGGTGAACTCACAAAAGAGGCAAGTTGAATCAGTAATGAGATATAATTGAAGGTCCCTAATGTGTAAACTATGTAAATTTATGTCTTTCTAAATAGTTTTTTTTTTTTTTTAAGAGTCCCTGTGAGAGGGTAACTAAATGACAGTCATAATGACTTAGGATGTGAAAAGAATTACTGCCACATTTATTGGTTTTCTGTTA